AAAGTAGGTACATATTGTTCTTTTGTGACCTCAGAGTCGGTTGTACGGAGTCTTAGCATTGCTGGGCTTCACAAACTGCAGTGTCAGTAACACGCTAGCTGACACAATAAACAGCTCAAAGGTTACCTTAAAGCAGTAATGCAGCACTTTGTCACATTTCATAGCCTGTACTGAAATAAACTGAATGACTGCCTGTGCATTGTGCTTACTAAGACCAATAAAACTTATCTTTCTGAATCATCCTGATTTGGTTTTTGCTAAAAACATGAATTCCTTTTCCTGAAAAATAAAATCGAGTGTTAATGACTTCCGCTATTGCTGCAAGGTCAGGTAGTTCAGGAAGAGGATTTTAAAAAGTGACTAAAATAACCGCACCTAACTCCTAGGAGTCCTGAGAGTGAACACCTCTCACAGATCCAGAGAGAACAGGGACAAAAGAGGGGACAAAAGAAGTATCGAATGGCTCTCAGAACTAGGGGGTGTTAGGGAACAGGGTTTGCTCAAGATAAAGAAGTGGCAGCTGAAGCAGAAAGAGTATTTCTGTCTTCCGTCAAGAAGATAGGGCCAAGAGCTGAGGCCCAGGAATAGCCAGATAAACAACAAAGAACAGACAAATACGATTTTCAAACACAGAGCCAATTATTGGAGAACCGTGGCTGTCCTCCTAATCAACAGGAATGATTCCTGGGGAAAATAGTGTTGCTGGAACGATTTCAGTGGGCTTTGCAGCACGGTGAGATTGGTGGGCTTTGGGATCAAGCCCATCTGGTTTTAAACAATGGTACCAGTACTTTCTAACCATATCACTGTAGGCAGGTCACTTTATATGTGCCATGTGATAGCAATAATAATAATTATTATATATTACATGGCAGAAAGCAGCACTTTGCATACATCACCTCATGTAATTCCCATTGCAATGCTATGAAGACTGTATTAGAATCCCCATTTTTCACATGAAGGAGCTCAGGCTCAAACATGTACAGTAGCTTGTCTTTCAGAATGGAACACAGTTGGTGGAAGGAGTGGGCCTAGAACTCTATTTGGTATCTCAGGCTTCACTCAAAATATATATTTGACTCCTATTGAGTATGTATATTTAAGAACAGCAAAGGAAAAACAAAACATTTACTAGTTCTAAAATTCCTACAACAATTATGGAGCTAGGTGAAAAATATTATTCTCATATTCTGTATGTGACCTAATCAAGGTCACTCAGCTAATAAATGCCAGGGCCTGAAACTAGAATCCCAAACCAAGAATATTGATCCGGTGCTGTTTCTATTAAAACACACATGATATCGTCACCATGATCATCAGGCTGAGCAGATAACTCAAACATCTACTTCTGGGCTGGGGCTAGACACAGATCTGGCGCAAACATCAATGTGATGTGCAGTTCTTGTCTCTTCGAGACTACAGGCTTTGGGGGCAAATCGCACCTTTTCCATGATTAGGAAGGTCTGTCATCACAACTATCAGGGCTCTCCCCACTTCAAACCGCGCCCTTTCCTCGCTTCCGAGTAACACTTTGTACAAGAGACACCCACCACAAACTGCATCGAACTTAAAACACAGCAAGTCAATTTATCTTCAGAAGGTTGTCATAACTGTCCTGACTACATTTGCTAAATTACTGATGCTCCCCAGGTTCACAAAAGGATTTGTCCGTCTCTTTTCCTAGTATGAACATGAAATGAACTTGTGAAGGCAGAGCTGTGACAACAGCCTCCCTTCTCCCAGGCAACAGATTAGGATGCTACACACCCAATTATGATATTACTGCAGAATCTGCTCAGAAGGAAACAGATAGCTGATCCCAGTACAAACTAGCTGAAAGGCCAGTAAATGGCAGCATAATAAAATAATAGTAACAGCTAACACTTATTGAGCGCTCACTGTGTGCCAGGCACCAGCCTAAGCACTTTACTGTCTTAACTCTTTTTATCCCACCAAGTTAATTATTTCCAGTATACCTTGCTGTTGCTCTAGCGAAGTTATCTGTGCACAGAGGGAAAAAATTAACCAGCTTGACTACAGCACCACAGAGCAGGTGCTCCTGAGCTTGATTTCCCTGACTCATTGCCTGTGCTTCCTGATAGCCATACAGTTAATGGATTTTATATAAGAGCAGAATTAAGTGACGAAGACTTGGAATCTAAACTGTCTATCTCCAGAGTCCATTTTTCTAACTCCTACACTGTGTCATACTACTGAGAAAATTGGGAAACAAGGAGATGAAATCAATTCGCAAAGGTTGCAATCAATAGAAACTACAGAATTATAGCATTTTAGGATTAATACAAAACAAATGGAGATAAGTGTACTTGAACAACAATAAAAAATATTTTAAAAACCCACTAACTTATAAGATAGTTTTAAAGAAAAGATTTTAACATGTTAAATGTAGGTATTCAAATATTGCAAGAGAATATTTCTTAATATTCTTTAAAAAAACAACTTGTACCATGTCTTTCTGCATTACAGGTCATATAAAGCTCAAGAAAATCAAGCAAGCACAACTTGGACTTAATCTTTGAGTTTAATTTGGAGACTAGCCCTGACTGGTATAGCTCAGTGGATTGGGTGTCATCCCACAAACCAAAAGGTAACTGGTTCAATTACCAGTCAGGGCACATGCCCGGGTTGCAGGCCAGGTCCCCAGTTAGTGGCATACAAGAGGCAACCAATCCATGTTTCTGCCACATATCAATGTTTTTCTTCCTCTCTTTCTCCCTCCCTTCCCCTCTCTCTACGTCATCAAAATGGAAAGGGAACCAACCGTATGAGAGAGAATATTTGCCAATGACACATTGGACAAGGGCTTAATCTCCAAAATATATGAAGAACTCATATAACTCAACACCAGGAAGACAAGGAACCAAATTAAAAAATGAGCAATTTTTTAATTGGACTTGAATAGACACTTCTCCGAGGAGGACATACAGAGAGCCCAGAGACATGTGAAAAAAAATGCTCATCATCACTAAACATCACAGAGATGCAAATGAAAACCACAGTGACATATCACCTCACACTTGTCAGAATAGCTATCATTAGTAAATCAACAAACAAGTGCTGGCAAGGCTGTGGAGGAAAAGGAACTCTAGTGCACTGTTGGTGGGAATGCAGACTAGTGCAGCCCCTGTGGGAAACAGCATGGAATTTCCTCAAAAAATTCAAAATGGAACTGCCTTATAACCCAGCGATTCCACTGCTGGGAACATACCCTAAGAATCCTGAAACACCAATCCAAAAGAACTTATACACGCCTATGTTCGTAGTGGTGCCATTCACAATAGCCAAGTATTGGTAACAGTCCAAGTGCTCATCAGTAAATGAGTGGATCAAAAAACTGTGGTGCATCTACACTATGTAGTATTACATCACAGAAAGAAAGAAGGAACTCCTACCTTTTGCGACAGCATGGATGGAAGTGGAGAGTACTATGCTAAGTGAAATAAGCCAGGTGGTGAAAAACAAACACCACATGACCTCACTGGTAAGAGGAATCTAACGAACAAAATAAACTAACGAGCAAAATACAACCGGAGACATGGAAACATGGAGCAAACTGACAGTGGCCAGAGGAGAGGGGGAAGGGTGGTGTGGTAGAAGGAAGGGGATGGGACTAGTCAAAGAATATGAATGACCCATGCACATGGACAATGGAGAGGGGATTGACTGTGGGCTGGAGGGGTCAGCTGGGTGGAGGGGGGCAAAAGGGAAAAAAATAGGATAAATGTAATAGAATAAACAATCCAAAAATTTGGGGACTAGACACTGGTTACATGTATTCCACAGCATTTCATTTATCGTTTGTGAAAAAAGTACAAAGCCCAAGATTTCAAATGATTGCCTTCTGTTGGTAACTAAGGCGAAACATCTGAAAAGTACTACTAAAGCTGAGGAGAAACATTTAGTTGAACACATACTTGGCCAAACATATCTCACATGTCCCATCTGGACAGCAACTCTTGAAAACAACGCATGTCCCACCTACCAGAACTCCCCTTTCTCGCGATCAGAAGGGAAGGTGTAGAACCATCCAAGCGTGCAGTAAAGAGCTGAGGCCTCCTTCCACTTCCCCTCTGGATCAAAGGAACTTGCAAACGAAATTTTCTCCTTTCATCGTGCTGAGAAATCCTGTCTCTCCTCTCCCTGCTCCACTGCCTTAGTAAGTCTCCCACTGCTCTGAAATTCTCTCTTGAAGCAATATTGTTTAGACAGCCAAGTTTGCAAATGCCTCAGAATGTAGGCAAAAGAATCTATGTGCATGTCGCTACATTGGAAGCTTTCAAACTAAGTGAATTAGAATACCCTAAATATTCACTAAAGTAAATCCCATTCGCAGATTCTAATTTAGTGAGTCTGTGATGGAGCCAAGGAACCTACATTTCAAACAAGTGTTGAAGGTGAGTGTGATGCAGGGAGCTAATTCAGAGGCTACTTTGAGAAACACGGTTCTATAATAAGATCATGAGCACTGGAGGGATGGGCATCCACCAAAGGGAGGAAGCATCAACAGGAAACAGCAAACAAAGTATCTGGGACAAGACAGCAGCTGCAGGTACTGCACCAAGAAGCAGCAGGCCAAGGTGGGGAGGCATGGAAAGAACTGCGGAACTGCTGGCATTTGGGGGTGGATGACCATGAAAGATTAACTCTGCCTATCCAAAATGTCTGCTTAGCTCTGTATATCCAGATTACAAAATCATAGCACAGACATTAAAATTAACCCTGGATATGTGACATTCATATGGTGTTGAATAAAGAGAATGACAGTAATACAAAGAGCCATAATTAAGTAAGGAACATTGGACTCCGAAAAGTCTCTAAAAACAAGCGCATAAGTGATATTTTGAAAATCATCATTTTTTTTTTGCAGAGTTTCACATACAAGGCATTATCTTCAGTTAGGTGCAAATGCTCTCCTTATTTTTCCGAGTCATGAGCAAATAGGAAAACGGTTTTTAAATCATTCCCTTTCAATACCTTACCTTCTACGTTGCCAGATTCCTGATAAAACCAACAGTGTGATTGCAACTATGACAATACAAAATATCACACCAAATATAATAATCCAGATGGGCACAGATGGGTCAGTGGGTGGTGCAAGAGTGGAAGGAATTTTTAAAAATTCCAGAGTCTGGTCATTCAAAGAGAAGGCATTGTTGATCCGGTTCCTATTCATTCTAAAATACAATGAAAATAAAAACAAACAAGACAGAAAAAAAATTAGAGACGGAAAATACAGACCTCTCTCTCCATGATTATCACTCTACAAACAGAGCACCCCCATAGAAAGAGACTTCAGGGTGACTAGAGTCTGCTGAGCGCACTCATGCCGTGGTATCTGTTTCACAGGTTGCTGTGCGGACTGCTGCAAGAGGGGCTTCTCTCTGCACTATTGCCCTGCGTGGTTGCAAACGTGGTAGCAGTAAGCAGAAGTCCTGAACTTTGATCTCTGCCCACCATGTTTTATTCCCGATAAGTAGCATCTAGATTAAAATGACAGAACTCTATTTAAGGTGATTTACATAAATACCCACGGCCCCAAAAGATACAATGATGTGTTAAAAAGTGCGTGAGGAACATGAGAAGAAAAGAAAACCAGGAAGAGAAAAGCAAACATGAATACAGAAGCAGGTGCAACTCCATCGGTTGGAGCTTTTTCCTCCCTGTCAATTCAACAAATTCAACAAACATTTGTGGGAAACTAAGTACCAGATACTAGGCTAGGTGCTGTAGAGACAAAGTGAAATAAAAATACTAAGGACCTTGCAGTCTAGAAGGAGGACAGATCAGCGCCTCTACACTCGCAGTACAACGCAAAGTGTCCTAGGAAAGAGGCCAATCTGGGCACGGGGGGGGGGGGGGGGGCGGTGCACAGCAGAGGGCTAAGGACACCACAGTGAGAAGTCAGGCCTGCTTCCCTGTGAGGGCACCTTCGCGGCTGTGTTTTCAGGAACGGGTAGGAGTTCTCTACACCAAAGTGTGCAGTGAGCACAGGAATGACACATGGTATAGTACGGTCTGCTCGGTAAACTGCAAGCAGCTCCATATGACTAAAGCAAATGGCGCTTTAGGAATCTGTAAGTCTAGGAAACATAAACGTAAATGTGCTACTTTTCCAGGGGAAGGGGGATCTGCATTTTTGGTGGTGGTAGCAGTTAGGGAAGGGTTGGTAGCAAGGACTTATTTGACTGAAAACAAAAAGGTGAGTTTCTAAAGGGAATTTGAAAACTGAATGAGAAGATTTCTTGGAGATATTGCATGGCTTTTACTGAATTCACACTAGACAAGCTGACAGCATCTACCTCTAGAGCACCCCTGAAATACAAATACAATGTGAGTCTCATGTGTTACTGACACTTTTCTAGGAGCTACATTATTTTAAAGAGGAAATAGGTGAAATTAATTTTTATAATATACTTTGCTCAATATCTCTAAGAAAATACAAGGTCAACATATAATCAATATTGAGTTGGTTCACATTTTATTTTGCACTAAGTCTTTGAAATTCAGTGTGTACTTTACACTCAGAGCATATCTAATCTTGGACTATGTCTCAAGTGCTTAATAGCCACATGGCTGGTGACTGCTACACTGAACAGTGAGGGTATTGAACTTGATAGTAATGGCTTGAGAATATCTGCAGACCCACACTGAGATAGCAGGAAAGACCTCCTTTAGCAAATAAAAACCTATGCTGAGGCAGGATTATTCACAAACATAAAGGAAAGTCACAACCAGATAATCTACAGCAGGGCATAATTTCCATGTAATTTTTACCAAATTATAGAATGTTTGCCTTTTTAAAACCTAATATTGATCATCTGGGAACACAAACCTTTGGACAAAATAATGAACCCCACTACTAAGATCTAACTCAGAGGAAAATGAACAGCTGCTCTGCGTTCTCATTCTGTCCACGTGGTTGGTTAACGCCTTGCTATTCTATAACCTCTTGGGCTAATTAGAAGTTCTAGTTCAGCACAGACTAAACCTCAGTCTACCACCGAAATCCCCAATAGATATCAAGCAACAATAATGTCTTTCAGCCAGCACTGGCCTTGAAGAGGGGTAGGTCCTCACAACACAGCTAAAACAGCCATCTTAGAACTGGTCGGTCATTTCCTCACCTCACTCTAGTAGAGACAGAAAAAAATCACTGTCCGTGGCGGCAGCATGCCTGGTTCCAAGTCCTCATTCTTTATATTTCTGGCATGGGGGCCTTAGCAAATCAATTCATTTTCCAGAGCCTCAATTTCCTCATTTATAAACCAGGAATAAGAATAATGGCTCAAAAAACGACTACCATCGGTATTAAGTGCCACAGATGCATAAGAAGATGCCCTGTGAACCAAAAAGTGTTGTTATGCAAATATTAGGTGGAACTGGCATTAGTTTGCCCACCATGCAGACTCTTCCGCGTCGAAATTCCTCTCACCTCCTCCTTTCACTCTATCCTTTCCTCTTGGTATTGCTTCCTTTGTTTTCATACAGTCCTGATGAGCCCTAGCCATTCCCTGATGCAAATTCCCATTCCATTAGCCAGTCTCACTCCCTAAATAGCTTCTCCTGCTAGGACCTTTGAAACTGACATCTTGTGCTCCTATTCATCTCCATCCTCAACCTTTGCCCCAAACACTCGCTCTCCCTTCTCCCATGAACCGAAGCCTGGTTTAACCACAGTGCCTTCATTGTCCTTGTGGCCCTCCCAAATCACCAGGCTTGAATAAAATCCCTTTTCACGCGAAATACGAGATTCCTGCTTCTTACTACCTAAGTGGTGGGTCTTAATAGTATTCTTACTAGCAAAAGGGCAAGAAAAACTTAGTTCGAATCTGCTTGTTAAAGCAGATTAAATCATTTCCCATTGATACAGATCATCAATGACTTTGCTTCAGCAAGGGAAATAGACGATTGTTCATACACAACCTTTGTCATTTGATTATATACTCATTATCTTCACTGTTAATATTTTACAGAAAGCAAATGAGTTCTTCCACTAGATACTTCTCCTTGGTAAAGAGAATAATATGCATTTCAGTTACTGATAAATCTTCTGTAAAGAGAGTTCCTTTGTTTCATTTTTTTCTTTTTCTGGAAATTGTTTGTTTTTTCTAGTACACCTTTGCCCAATATCAATCATGTGTGGGATTTGAAGTTTTGACACATAAAGTGAACAGTAATTGAAATAAAAACAAACTGAATCCTTCTGTTTCTCTGAAGCAAAGAATACATTTTACTTTTGAAAGTTTGTTATGATCACAAGGAGAGGAGGAGGGGGAACTGTCAGGAAAAACTGTGTAAATCTGTTTTTTTAGATTTCATTTATTTATTTTCAGAGAGAGGGTAAGGGAGGGAGAAAGACAGGGAGAGAAACATCAATGTGAGAGAGAAACATCAATCAATTGCCTCTCCTGTGCACCCCAACCAGGGACCAAATCCACAACCCAGGCTTGTGCCCTGACCAGAACCGAACCTGCGACCTTTCACTTCTCAGAATGATGCCCAACCATCTGAGCCACACCATTTAGGGCAAAAACTGTGTAAATCTTGAAATGGGTAAAAATATCACAGAGTGTTTTTCCAGAAAGGCAAGCACACCTTTCTGGAAAATTTCTACCATTTATTCTGTTTGAGTTGTTTTGCAAATCTGTAAGTTTTATATAAAACTGACATAATGTAAATGATTCCTGCCCACAGAAAATCAAGTGAGTTGTGTCTGGTGGAACATGACTGGTGACTACTACCTGATGCAGCGACCGCTGCATCCTTGTGTAAATGAACATCACCATTCCTCGATTTCTATGTACACATGGTTCCTTGAATTCTCCTTAGAACTAGTTTTAACATTAATTAACTAGTTTGGTCATTAATAAATGACATAATAGCATCTTTGATAGCATTTATTTTTGATTTGTATGAATCATGATTTTACCATTGTTTAAAAGGTATTTTTTTTTTACAAATTTGTAGTCACAAAATAGTCATGGGGATGTAAAGCACAGCACAGGGAATATGGTGTAAAATAATGTAATAACTATGCACAGTGCCACATGGGTACTTGAAATACAGGGGGAACACTTGATAAACTTTATAACTGTCTAACCACTATGCTGTACACCTGAAACTTAACCAAAATAATACTGAATGTAAAATGTAATTGAAAAAAAATAAAATTAAAAGGTATCTTTTAAAGGTAAAGACTGTACATTGACTAAGGAAGGTAAGTCCTTAAAGACCCAAGAAATCTGCATATTTTTATGGTGTTTAAATAAAAGTCAGAGGTATGACTTGTCCCTCAATACATGTTATGTTTAATCTTCTCAACAGCTCTGAGAGAAGGGCACCTTAATTATTTTCATTTTATATATGATAAGAGGAAAGCAAAAGAGGTAAAGTAATTTGTCTATATTCAAATAATGAGCAAGAGGCAAAACCAGAATTTAAAACCCAAGCATTTGGGCCACAGAATCCACTCGATGAACCATCAAACAATAGTGCTGTACAAGGTGTCCTTGCTAGAAGGAGACAGCACTAAACATTCTTGGCTAATATTTAAACAGCATCTCTCAACCACAGCATGACTGACATTGGGGCTTGAATAACTCTTTGTTGTGAGGTGCTGTCCTGGACATAATAGGATGTTTAGCAGCACCCGTGATTTCTGCCCACTAGATGCTGGTGGCAACGTGCCTTGCTACCCCCGAACTGTGACAACAAAAATATCTGTAAACATTGCCGGATATCTCCTATGAGGCAAAATTACCCCCAGATGAGACCCACTTGATCCACACTAATCTGTAATACAATGAAACAAAATTAAGGTTTTGACATCTTAATAAGTAAATATTGTGAAGCAGAGAGAAAATTCTTTATGAGTTTTCATAGCCTATGAAAAGAGTTGAATTAATCAAAGTAGATTTACCGCTAGAAGGTATATTTGACAGTGCTTACCTTATGGCTAACTGTATCTCATCAGCAGGAAGGGTGTGATTTTTCGAAGCATCTGTAACCACGAACCAGAATGACACCCGCTGGGTTACATTGCAGACTAGGACATGCGAAATGCTGCAGATGATGGAAAGAAACAAAAAAAACACTGTAAGCAAACAATACCAAATTTCAACAGACCATCCCATCTGGCATTATTGTAGCACATGTCGTAGCTATAAATGAAAAATCATTTCTACCATTGTGAAGAAAGGTCTTATTAGGAGTAAATTTATAGAGGAAATCTCCTTTGTTTCAAAATCATATACCTGAGAACCATTCCTTAAATAAGGAATCTCCCAAAAAAATAAAATCAAGAGGAAATACTTATAGACAGCTTTAGGGACCTCATTCGCCATCATCTGTTAGCTGACAGCTCCCCTGCCTCCCCTGCACTTGGCTTCTCTGAACCACAGAAGTCACTCCGACCCAGATAAACCCATTACCCCCTGTTGATCTAATATTTGCTCTGATGGCCACTATTTCTGTCCCTCTCCCACTCCAGTATTGGGGTTGGACCAATAACAGACCCCCAAACTGAAGGGCTACAATCAATTTACCATAGTCTTTGGGCATTGTTTTTGCAGTTACCTGCTTTCCAACTGAAAATTAGAAAACGTACCTCCCTCTATGCCTATACATGGATTACCACTAGAAATGACAAAGAAATGGCATTACTGTTTGGAATGCAGACAATCTATATATGAGTGCAGGAACTTATTGAAGGTTGAAAATTATAGAAGAGCCTGCATTAAATCAACATTGTTGGTGCTAAATGATAAAATCCTGAATGAATGTCACCACTTCCTGAAAAGCAAAACTGCAAACAGTGACATTAGCAACAATTGCAGAAGAATGAACAAGAATCCCTTTTACTAGTAAATGTAAATGTATTGTTTTTCCTAAAAAGAGCATTCAAGTGCACTGTGTTCATTTTTGCAACAATGAAAGTGCTCCTCTGTCAATTTTCTGTACTTCTCAGAACCTGGTAGTAACCATTATATTTTCTCTCTTTCAATGTCAAGTACAGGAGTCAAGGCCTCTTAGGCCCCCTGCCCAGAGCCCAGCGCCTGGGGCCAGCAGTGGGGAGCTGGAGGTTCCCTTGGTTTCTTTGACTTTCCAGTGTTCGATGGAGTTTGAGCTGCAAGAAAGGGGAGGAGTGGCTTGGCATGTGCAGGACCCGGCAAACAGAGGGTGCCCATATGCCGTCACCCCAAGTTCTGCCCTTGTGCTCCCATTCCAACGATCAGCCTAGCCCTACCTGCTTCAAACCTCCAACTAGGAGGAACGTCTGAGAGTTGAATCGCCTCTGAAAGACCCCCAACAGCACGGCACCACGATCATGGGCAGCTACCCGAGCAGGTACCAAAGCACAGCCAATACCATGCTGCGCCACGCCCACTGCCCCAGCACTCCCTTTCCCACAGTCCGGGCAGCAGGGACCAGCGCCCAGGCTCCTAGGTGCCCACTGGAACCTCTGGGTCCAGACCCAAGCCCCACCCATCATACCGCCCACCTGGTACTAAACCAGAGTCTGGAAGGAGGTGATGCCCGAAGCTTGGAGGCGCTTTCCCAGCCGGCCAGTAGGTCAGACCCCCGTGGGGCTGTGTTTTCCAAGTCATCAGAGGAGTATCATGAAGCAGTGACTTTGCAATGCCCACCACCACCCCCTATGCACCCAGAGCCCGGTGACCATCAAAATTGCTCTGCTCAGTACAGAGAGAGCTTCTACACGTGCGCACACACCCAAGATCACCCTGACCCCTACACCAAGGAGACCATGCTGAAGGCTCCCAGCCACCCCAAGAAAGGCAAAAGCAGTTCAGACCACTCTGGTTTGAGACCCCAGACACCGAGAGAATGAGGCAGAGTCCAGGGCACAAGCCAACTGCCTTGAAGCCATCTAGAGAAAGGGGTGATCGTTTCCCTTGTGCCCAGGCCTGGGCCTCTGCTCCTGGAGCAACAGCATCCAGAGGAGGACACTGCCACCACCCTCCCTGAGCCTTCCCTGTCTGCAGCCCACCCTGATGCAAGGACACCACCAGCCCAGGCCACACAGTCACAGCCTCAGCCTAAGGTCACCACTGTGTCCTGTCAGTCAAGGTCCTGAGGCTCCAACCCATGGTTCTTTTGGCCTGGAGAGTCCTGCTCTAGGCCTGCGTGAGTCACGCCCATCCCCAGGCCCCCTCCCACGGCCCCTGCTGGCAGGTCTGCTGAGCCCCAGACCCTCCCCCAGCCTCAGCTGGCAGCTCCCACGTGCAGAATCACTGCTGTGATCAAACCTTTGCCTGCCTCCCATCCACCCCTGCTCCTGCCTTTTCCCAGAGCACGCTCCTCAGGGAGGCGTCTCTCCCCCATTTGCCCACTTTCTACACTTATGAGTGTGTTCTTATGTTAAACAGCAATTACAGACATCGTTATTATCATGGAGATTCTCAGTCTTTCTTTAAAGATACATACAATAGGATTTCCTCCACGCTACAGTTTCTCCACCTTACCATTGTTACCATTTGGGGCCAGCTAAATCCTTGCTTTTGTTGGGTGCGGTCCTCTGCATGGCAGGGTTTAACAGAATCCCGGTCTCTAACCTCTGGGTGCCAGCAGCATACCCACCTTGTGAAAACAATGTCATTGCCGAATATTCCAGGGGCCGAGGTGGAGGCTTGGGAGGAGGGGTGTGTGTGTGTGTGTGTGTGTGTGTGTGTGTGTGTGTCCAAAAAAAAAAAAAAAACTCTGGTAAGAATTGCTGGGGGACAGTGACCTCTACTGGCAGAAACAGTCAAGCTTGGTCTCCAAAAATGTGGGATTTTGAAGCACATCAAACATGCAGAGATGAAGAAAATCAAGTGGTGCATGCTTGGAGAAATATTTACCCAATTTTATAGAATGAATTATGCATGGTTTTGCCCTTGTTAATAATCAGACAGTGTAAAGTTTTTACCTAAATGAGCTACTCATTTAAGCTCGCCAGGTTGGCAAAAGGTAAAAATGTTAAATAAAAACACATACTGGGCCCTGGCTGGTGTAGCTCAGCGAAAGGAGAGCTGGCCTGTGAACCAAAGGGTCGCCGGTTTGATTCCCAGTCGGGGCACATGCCTGGGTTGTGGGCCAGGTCCCCAGTTGGTGGTGTGTGAGAGGCAACCACACATTGATGTTTCTCTCCCTCTCTTTCTCACCTCCCTCTCTAAAAAGAAATAATAAATGAAATATTTAAGAAAAAAATGAACAAATGCTGGGAAAGATGCAGACAACTGGAATCTCAGACAGTGCTGTGGGAGTCAGTGGGTCCAGCCATTCTAGAAATGTGTTCTAGAACAGTGTGTGGCTACCAGCAGTTCTCTTACATGAGAGAGCAGAGAGAAAGAGATGCTCTCCGCCAAACTCTTTGTCAGAGCCGAGAACTGGCACAACCTCAATGCCCATCAGTAGGGAACAGATCGAGTAAATCTGCTATGGGCTGTCAGGTGAGTCCTAGTCCACAGGTTCAAGGGAAGACAGCCCAGTATGTCTGGACTCCTGGGCTATTGAGCCAGATCAGTCTGTGTTGTCTATGGGCAGATGTGCCATGCATTTCAGGATGTTTAGCAGCTTCCCTGGCCTCTGTCATGGTGTAATGTTATCGTGGAATACTTGCCATTTACACGAATTACACAAATACAAAGTACTACTGCTGGCACAAGGGAAGAAGCCAGCAGCTAGGTAAGAGGCAAACATGAATTTCATGGCATTTTTCTTTTGAGAGTCAGAGAATGTGCCATAAGCCTAGCAAAGTCCCTTGTCCCCCGGAGCCTGATTTCTAAACGAGTGGACACAGAAGACAAGCAAATAAACAGTGTGCACACCGTCGAGGGGGCAGAAGTGCGATGAAGGAAAGGAACCCGGGAGAGGAACGCACGCGCTCCCTGGGCACCACAGGGCCCCAGAGCTCTCCTGTCTCCCCCCGCGTGGAACCATGCTACCCCTCACCAGGGACTCAGATCCCTTACTCGGTGTTTCTTTAGCCTGGCAACTCATGCTTTCATGGGCACCTCAGCAAATAAAATAATAAAATATAACTATCTTCTCAACTTGGAAATAAAGATTTCCAGAAGATTAAAATGGTGCTGAAAACATACTAAATCCAACAAACATTTTCAATGAAACCGTTCCTGTTAGCTACAAAAGCCTTGGACTGAAACTCTACAAATGGAGCTGTGATTTTGAAGGTTCCTTCTCATTTGCTAGACGTGAGACAGGGCATTTCACTCTACATGGGTTACTAGAAAGGGGCTGAGACCTCAGCGTGTCAATGAAGCCACCGCTGGTGTTTTGAGTAGGGAATTCCTCCTTCTGTGCAAATGTCCTGAGATTGGTGCCACATTGATTGTCGCTGACCCCCACCCTTTCATTGCCAGAACAGTCTCCAGTCACAGGTATGACCCGGCAACGTACACATTTCCATTTGCCGCAATACGTGGCCACGGTCAGTGCCATACCCAGGCGACAAACACTGATAAATCTCTCCAGATGTGTCAAGGGTGTGAGAAAATGAGGGAAGATGGAGAGACTGTCAGATTGGATCAGCCTAAAGAGGAATGGGTTCCAGAACAGAAAAAAGAACATTAGTGTAAAAAAAAGGAAATCTGAAGATGCTACAGTTTAACATTATTGAGCCAATGGCAATTTCTTAATTTTCATACATCTGTCATGGTTATTTCATATAGCAACCTTAGGAAAATGGGTGAAGGTTCAGCAGGAGAATTTCTCCACCTCAGCACTACTACAGTTTAGGCTGGCTGACTCTTGCTTGTGAGAGGCTGTCTATATATCTTTTGAAGGATGCGCGGCAGCATCCCTAGGCTGCACACACGAGATGCATGCAGACATTTCCAAATATCCTTGGGAGCAGCGGAGGCACAAACTGGCCCCAGGCTGAGGACCACTCATACACAGAATCTCTCTGTATTATCTTTGCAACTCTTTTGTGAATACACTTTTTTTTCTAATTAAATACAAACACAAATACAGGAGCACAGCAGTTATTTTTAAAGTTCCCTGGGTACACTAAAATGATCTACAAGAATGAAACAAGGCAATGA